TGTGGCACACTCATATAGTCACAGAGCTCAAGTGGCTGAGGTAGGAGGATTTCTGTGAGTTCAAAGCCAGCCTGGACTACATAGTGAGGCCTTGTCTAAAAAAAAAGTTTGATTCTTGGGCCTGCCTGCTGGTCCCGCCCCCGGTGCTTGCTGAGATGGCTATTGAGACTGGGCATGGTGGCACGCGCCCATAATCCCAGCACTTGGAAGGCTGTAAACAGGAGAATCACTATGAGTCTGATCTACTACTGAGACCCTGAACACCCTGTAGACCCTTCCCTAAAATACAGAGAAAAAAAGGAAAGAAAGAAAAGAAAAAATAATTTTTAACAAATATATTTTGTACAGGGCCTCGCTATGCAGCTCAGACTCACAGTGATCCTCCTGTTTTCAGCCTCCCAGCGCCGGGATTACAGGTGTGCACTACCACTCCCAGTCTTGGTGGCCTGCTCAGTGTGCCTGGAGAGGGCAGGGCAGCAGCTGGGGATCAAACCGGGGTCCTGGAGCTTGCCTAAGGCACTTAGTCTGCTGAGCTATCTTGCCTGCCCTAAGAAAATAAATCTTAATGGGTAAAAGTATAAGTAGAAAATTTGCATAGTGCTAAGGTATATCTCCTTGACTGGGAGTGGTGGTGCATAATCCCAGCTCTGGGAGGTTGAGGCAGGAGGACTGCTGGGAGTTCGAGGCCAGCCTGGGCTCCTTAGTGAGTTCAAGGCCAGCCTGAACCAAGGTCGGCAAGGACCTGTCTTAAAAAAAAAAAAACACAACACAACTCCCCAATCCCCCAAGCTCCCAAACAAAGAAACAAATGAAGTATCGCACCACAGATCCTTAACAATTACAAGGAGAAAAGTACAGTTGTAAGTTCACCACTACCACTGCAGCTGGCAATATTGGAATGTTTGTGAATTAGATGCCCGTAGTGCGAATGCCAATTTCGTGGTTTTGATAATCTGATTACAGTTATGTAAGAGCATTTAAAACAAACCACGTGAATGATATCCTGGAATTCTGTTTTTTACAAAATTTCTGAAGGCGTGAAAAGTAAAGAGTTAAAAATATGAAAATAGACCCTGTAGACCCTGAACTGCGTACATAAAAAATTTTTTTTTCAAACATTTATTTATTTAGTGTGTGTGTGTGTGTGTGTGTGTGTCCAGCTCAGCCCACCAGGGGGCGGGGCTGGCTGGCTTGTGGTGCTGGGGGATTGAACCACGGTCCCTGTGCTTTCCCAAGCCTGTTCCAAGTAGGTGCTTTAGACCACTGAGCCATCTCACCAGCCCTGATAGTACTTTTATAATTAAGTGATATTATAACTAGCTAAAAAAGTAGTAAATAATCTAGTATAAGTAATTGATTTCCTAATATTCACATATATTCTCACCTGTTTTTACCACTTCCCTTATGAAAAGAATACCATATTGAGCAAGGATGAGGTTATGTCTAGAGATAAAGATCAGATTTTATGCTGAGAATCGTTTTGGGGGTGTCATGTCCTCTGGTGACCAACTGGCTCCACTTTCGGCTGGGAAGCAAGGCTTGATTTCCTGCTGCCCTGTCCAGCGTGTTTATGATAGCGTCACCTAGCGACAGGGCTGCTTTTTTTTTTCTTTTAAACATTTATTTATTGTGTGTGTGACCAGCTCAGCCCACCAGGGGGCGCGGCTGGCTGGCATGTGGTGCTGGGGGATTGAACCGTGGTCCCTGTGCTTTAGCCAAGCTTGTTCCAAGTAGGTGCTTTAGACCACTGAGCCATCTCTTCAGCCTCCGGGGCTGCTTTTTTCCACTTCCTTATTCTGTCTCAGCCCTCCCAGCGCGTGCCTAGTTTCAGGACTGGCAAGGCATGTGCTACCAGGAATTGAACTCAAGACCTTTCACTTGCCAGGCAGGTGCTTTTTCTGCCGAGCTGTCTCCATGGCCCCTGGAGTGGTGATTCTTGACTAGGTTCTGAACCCCCTCCCTCCTTTGACAAGCCTGGAGATGATTTTGGCTTTCTTGAGGGCCAGCATGCGTGTGGGTGGAGCCTTCTTAAGGGGCCCTGGCGCCTAATGGGTAGAGGGTATCTGGCTGCTGGTGAGCCTTTAACGTGTACAGAACAGTCCTAGACAACAAAGAGTTGCACAGCCCCTAATGTCCAGGGAGAGGCTACTCATTCCTGGTGTAGGGGGTTAAAACAGCAAAATTTGAACTTAGAAACACAAGGACTTAGCTAGTACCTATGGATGAGTGTGCAGGTCAGCATGTGGGCTGTAGAAACAATAGACCAGTTGTGCCACCAACTGGGTCCCAGTCTGGATGGGTAGGGTTGGAGGCCAGAGAAGCACATACACACTTTCAGTCTGAGACAACATATGACAAATTCAGGAGGAGAATCACATGTGGGCTGAGAAGTGGGTGTACATGCCTAGTAGCAGGAGGACAAGGCAGGCTGTGGGCAAGGACTTGTTTTTTTTCTGTGTGTGTGTGTGTGTGTGTGTGGCCTGCTCAGCCCACCCTGGGGGCAGGGCTGGCACAACATGTGGGGCCGGGAATTGAACTGTGGTCCCTGGGCACTTGCCTAAGCTTGCCTAAGCAGGTGCTGTAGACTGATCAGTTATCTCACTGGCCAAGGACGTGGTTTTAGAGCTGAATGCGGGAACAAAGTGGAGCTGGTGGGAAAACCCATAACCTGTGCAGAGACCACACAGCCTACAGCATAGCCCGGGAGAAATGGGGAAGCAGGAGGGGGCTCAGGCCTTGCACCCAGGCTGGGGGCTGCAGCGCTGGTGTCTATTACAGTGGTGGGAAAGATATCCCTTCCCAAGGGGCGGGCTAGGTCCTAGGGCTGCGGGATTCGGTGACTTCTTAAAAGGAGGTGAAGTTTCAGTTTAGGACGGAATAGGGTGCAACTTCTCCTGATTTTAGGACCAAGCTGATGCTTTGCATGTTACAAGCTATTGCAGGTCACAGTAGCCCTGGGAGGTTGGTGCTCTCAAATAGAAATATATACACAGGTGATCTCACTTCTATGCGGCTGTTTTGTGAAGATCTGGGCCCCTTGGCTGTGGTGCAACCTGGAGCAAATTCAGAAGCACTAACCGAGGCCCAGAGGTTGCTGTGG